AAACACGATTATGACAAAAAAAAAATCCAGATCAGTCTTATAAACTTTAATTAGCAACAGGAATAGGCACACCAAGAGACCCAATGTCAAAGTTCGGCAGTTTCAATTGAAGTGCAAAACTACTAGAATTCCTACATGGATGCATCAACTTACCATGCTCGTGTGGCTGGCCATTAATGTCAATGCGCTCCCATGGCTTCTCAACTATATTGATTATTGCAGAAGAGACCTAGAAAATAATTGCAATCAGAAGTTCTTTCGTCATAACATTCAGTAATAAGTTCCACAGATCCTCAAATCATGTAACATGGCCCAGCATATCAGTATGATTAAGCTCTTTTCATTGTTTTGTAAAGCACATCACACAGTGTCATCCATAAACAACCCAAAAGAAGAAGAAGAAGAACAAAAACAAGAAAATTCTCAAGTGTATTAGTACTATAATAGTGACTCAATATTATTATTGCAAGGAATATACTTTATCAGTGCATAATACATATGTCAATTATTGCAAGGAATAAACATTATCAGGAGTTTGTGACCCGTGTCATTGAACTTTAAGCTAAAGCACACTAAATCACGATTTTAAAGGCAGGACAGGATTCTAAACATCCACAGCCCACTTCTGAAACTATTACCTGATGATAAAAGGATGTGAAGTGCTTTCCAAGTACAATGGCAAAGTCCTCTGGTGAAAGCGGTTGCTTACATTCTTTAGCTTTCACATATACCTAAACCAAAGTCCAGCAAGAATCAAGCAGCTATATATATAATGCCACTAATCCACACATATTCAGTTGGAATACTCAGATAAACATGATTGTTTTAACTTTATCACATTCGGAATAAGATTGTGACGCTTACAGCAAAAACGCAAAAAAATAGAACTAAGAACAAAGAGCAACTTTTGCATTTTATAACTGGATTATACACATTTACAGTTTGCAGTGGCAAATGAAACAGGGAACACCACCGTGCATATGATGATACGAACTCATTTCAGACCAAAATTATCAAAATAAACAAGAAACCATTTTTTCTATGAACGTATTCCAAAAACAAGACATCAAAGACGGTCTCCATCTCCGGACAAACTCAAAACTAATCAAAATAAAACCAAGCAAACCCCAAAAGGAAAAAAGGAAACAGTACCGTGTTTTTCATGGTATCCGTAGCGACGATATCGGAGTTGTCGCCGTTAGTGTAAGCCGTCAAACAATCGGAGAGAAGGCTGATGTTCACGCTCCACTCGACGAAATTCTGGCGTCCGTTTGGTTCTCTCCACACTCTCCCTACTCTAACCCTTGCTTTGCCGTGCCTCTGCTCCAGCGCCAAAACGCCATCGGCGGCCATATTCTGGTCAGAGATTGTGTACTCGAGTCGGGATCTGTTGACGGCGGTTCGGTGGGATTCGAAATAGGTCAGTTCAGAAGAAAATCGCCATGGATGGTTTTCTACTCTTTTGATGTCTTGGCGCGTGGCGTTCACTCGCCGGCGATTTGTTGAGATGATTGCTTTCCAGATGTTGGAAATTCGTGATAGTCGTTAGTGGGAAGTGATTATTAGAAATTGAATATTAATTACAAATAGTATATTTAATTTAGAGGATGCTTGGATATAAAAATTTTTGGATTTGTTTGGATTTTTTGATTTGGTTTGGTTAATTTTGAAAAGTGTTGTATGGTTAGTTACTAGTGGGTATACTAAAATAATATTTAAAATAAAATAATTAAAGCTGATTTGATGTGAAAGTATGAGAAAGATGATTTGAAGTGATGATTAGTTAAAATTATGTGAGTGGATAAATAGTGAATTAAGGTTGATGTGATGTGTAAGAATGATTGGTTGATATTATTTAATTATATTAATAGTATTAATAGTTGAGTTGAGTTAAACTTAAGTTGAAAAAAGTGGTTGAATTAAAAATATTTGAATTTTTTGGATAAGTTTTAACAAATCTATATAAATATAATTTCAGGCTATTAAATTAATGCAAATTACAAATTTTTTCTGCTCAAATTTTTAATTAATTATAATAAAATTGTTATATTTTATATTAATTAAATATAATTATATTTTATTAATTATAATAAAGTGTTATGCATCATAATTTATGCACTCAAACAAAAATATGTGATACATATGTATTACATTTTATGCAATTAATTATATAGATATTCATGTGTAGTTAAATAATTTATATGTAACGGTTCATTTATTAATAGTCAAATTTATAAAATATGATATATATATATATTATCTATTTTATAATTTTAATATTACATTTACACATAATTTATACTACTTCATAATTTATATTTGGGCATGTACATAGGATCAGCTACTGGTATATATAAACCATTACAAAGTGCTTCGGCATATTACCGCAATTTGACTTAATTCTCGTGTCAGGCAAAACGTCGAGTCTGATCCTTTATACCATTTGAAAAAACTATATATTATTTAAAATATATATAATTTATACTATATACTTTTATTTATATTATTTTTCAAATATAACATTTTTAATAAAAGTATTCATACTTATAAAAGTTATATGATACTCTAATAATTAGATGGACTTAATAAAATAATCAATTGTATAATGATTGCTTTGAAAAAAAAATTATTTATACTATCAATTATTATATTTTTATTTATTTTTTTAAAATTTGATTTTTTAATAAAAATATGCATGTTTATAAAAATAGTATGTCGATCTAATATAGTTAGGTGGACTTAACAAAAGATGAATTGCACAATGATTGCTGGTGGAATCTTACATATAATTGAAATTTTGAAACAACTAGCTTAAAATCATTATGTTATGTATCTTCGTAATCGTATCCACACATTTAGTAAACACTAATATTGGATATTTATGTATTATGTATATATTAGCAATTTTATATACAACTGTATAGTTATTCTAAATACGGGTAAACAAAGTTTAAGATATGTGCATTAGTAAAGTAATCATTGACTGAACTCACTTAATTCCAAAATGTATCTCCTAATTCAATAAGATTGTTGACAAACGGGGGTTGACGGGTGCGGTCTCACGGACGAAGCGCACCAAATTAGAAAAGCCCAAGTGAAGCCTAAGTGAGGTTCCATCCCAAAACTAATTGGTTGTATGAGGAGTAGCCCATTAGACTTATAAGATGGGTCTATTTTCCCTGTATAGACCATATGGGACAACTCACAAGTGTATATTCTAACAGTTGTGTCATTTCGGCAGGAGGTTAGTCCATTGTGGGACCGGATCTAGTCAGTTGTAGTTTTATTGGAGTTTCTAAATTATGTCATGGGATTTCTATCTCATTGTTTGTTCACTTTCGGGTGTTGGGTCAATCGGTGAAGCCTCGGAGTTCTTTACCGGTTGGGCGGGAGAGCTCTACTCTTTGGTTTACTTTTTTTTTAGGTGGTGTTTTGTTTTGAGTTTATGTTTGTAAGTTTGTTTGCATTTTGTTTGATTTTTATTCTCCCAGTTTGGATGTAGTATTCTCCACTTGTGGAGTTAGTATTTTAATTTTTTTCGCTTTTACTCTTGTGGGTGCATCTAGTTTAGTGGATTCTAGGCTACATTCATCTTTGACAGATATGTCTCTCTCTGATTTCAATTGTATAGCTAATACAGGATTGTAATTATGTGTTTGTTGTTTATAAATCCTCTATCGTTTTAACTCAACTGATTAGATTTAAAAGGCTGCAAGTTTATCGTCTTCCTTGAAAACGCGGACACTTGAATAAAACTGCAGAGAAAATCCCCGAAATATTTTTCTCGATCTACATTTTGTATACATGATATCGAGAGTAGGTCGATTCAATGGCGCACACTGAAGAGAGGAAGGAGACGATCATTGCTCTCTACGTATGTGACATGGATCCTCTGATTCTCCATGGATCAGACCATCTGGGAATGGTGCTTGCTAGTAACCCGCTTACTAGTTCAAATTATCTTCATTGGAGCCGTGTGATGAGATTGACACTCCGAGCCAAATAAACGCTAAGATTAACCTATGAAACCGTGGAAATTCTTGATTCGAGCTTGGAGGAATATGAGCAATACTAGAAGGTGGAATTTATGGTGATTTCATGTCTACTAAATTCTATTTCGAAGGAGATTGTTAAGGTTTTGACGTATGTGAAAACTTCTAAGCAACTCTAGCATGAACTAGCTGAGAGATGTGTGGAGAATATAGTAGTCCATTAAAGTACCAATTGCAAAAGAGAATTGCGAATTCATCTCAAGAAAACCTAACAGTTACTATATATTTTTTAAGCTGAAATGCTTATGGGATGAATATGCTTGCTTAGTTTCAATTCTAGGATGTACTTGTGGGTCTGGGAAGTCACTTTGTGAAAATGATATGGAAATCAAATTGATGCAGTTTTTAATCGGGTTGAATAAAAAAATGAATTATTTAAACTTAAGAAATTTAAATTATTATTTTTACTTAAAATGTTAATTTTGTAGAAACTCCAAATAGAACATTTACAATTTTTCCAATTATTAGTTACTAGAATATAGATATATGGAGACAATGTACTGTTGTGGGTCCTACATCATTTCTAAGATTTGTAGAGTAGGATACATCAATTGAATCTCCTTTAAATATTTGTCACATCATTTTTAGTGAGTGGACTCGGGAAAAATTCATCCTACCACATGGGCACTACTCACTCTTATGGACTTTTTGACTTTAGATTTCACACACACCCATGTGGGTGTGTGTGATTGTGTGTAGATCTAAAGTGAAAAATTCCATGAAAATAGTGCCCCATGGGGTAGGACTGTCGACTTGAACAAATTAAATATAGATTTGACAATTTTTTTTGAGTTTTATATTTGTCTTGATAATTAACTAAAAATAAATAAAAAAAATAATATATTTACCATACTTTAAAGTAGAGTAAGTGAAAATTCAAATCCATCTCCAGCTCTTCTTGTTATATTTTACTCTACATCATATATATATTTTTTTTTATGGAAGAGAGAATTTGGCTGGCCAAGCCTCTGATTGAGATCAAAACCTCTCATTTTAGTTCAAACCTCTCTTTATCAAGCACAACCAATATATTTTGTTGATTTGTTCCCTCTATTAAAGTGAAGCCACCAAACCTTCAATGCACTTCAATAGTGGTGTCCACGATGCAAAACAAATTGACCGCGGGCCATGAGGAGATTTTGGTGAAGCCACCAGTACCTCTAATAATTTTGGTTGATTTTATTTCTATGTTTTTAGTGAAGGAGATTCATCCACAAAAGCTTCAATCTAGTTGTGGCCATGAGGTGATGCAGTTGATGAAAGCATCCTTGAGCAGTTTATTTTAGAGGTGGCCACGGGTCGAACCGGTTTGGTCAAACTTGTTGACTGTATGCCTTGAACTGGCGGCCCATGGTTTTGCCCAAGCCGGTTCAGATTCATGTATTTTTTAAAAATTGAACCGTCGGTTCGACGTCGAAATTTTAATTTAAAAGTAAGAATTTTTTATTTTTTTAATGTTTTAGTGTTTTTTCTTTTTTATTTCCGGTCGGCTGTGAACCGGCACGACACAGGCAGGCCGATTCTGAACCGTGAATTACGGCTTCATTTAACCGGCCCGTGTGTATACGTGGCCCGATTCCGATGGTAGATAGTAGATCGGTGATTGTATTAGCGGATAACTAATACTAATAGTGCATTGTAATTTATAATAACGGATTCGACTACTGTATTTTTTTAGTTTTTTATAAATAATTATTTGGTAAATAGTGGATTGTATGGTTATTTTGAAAAATTTATATTGACATGCTATTTTACAAATTTTCTCTCCTCACAATTCTCCTATATTTAGCTTTTTCAAAATTAATATTAAGTTATTCACTACTTCAAAATTATGCGAAAAACTCGCTCCAATGTGGCGCTACATTTTCTCACAATTTTGAAGATATGAGCAGCGTCACGCTTCATCGCGCTATAATTTTTCTTTCAATTTTTATTTTTTAATTACTTTTTATTCTATATATTATTTTGCAAAATATACATTAATAAAATTATTTATTTGTTAAAAAAATATATTTTAATTTTATTTTTATGTTTATAATATATTTCATGTAGACTAAAATGTAGAGCGAACTACTGGAGATGAAAATTAAATTTTGGTCTTCACTATTTTGGAATAGAGTAAAATCTACGTTGGAGTAGAGCCTATGAAAATCAATCCGCTAGTTCTACACACTACAAATCAAATCATTCTCGAAAAATTGACAAGTTGCAAATTAAATATGAAAAGGCAAAAATTTAATTTTTAGGATAAAGTGGATTTTTATAAATTATAGATGAATTTATAATAAATAAATATAGTAATTAAACTTGATATAAAACTAAAATAATAAATATACATAGAATTTTATGTAAAATATAGTACTCTTATTCTAACATACATCAATTTATACATAAATTACATTACTTACCTTTGGTTTTTTTAAGTGACTAAGTGATAGCAAGACAAGTTGTCAACTATATGACAAGAAAGAGTAGATCAATTGGTAACACCCTTATTTAAGACCCTTATTTAACACCCTTAACACCAAAACTTGGTCCACGTAATTTAAGACCCTTATTTAAAAATATATGATCACCATTCACAAAATAGTTCTAGAATTTCATTGAATTTAATATTTCTTTTTTTTTTTTTTATAATAATTTTTTGACAAGAAAAAAATGGGGATATTTTGACAAGAAAAAGATGGGGATTGAACACGACTATCACGTGATTGAGCTTCAATGGTAATTATTTCTCAAAGTGTATTGTATTACACTAATATGATGTGATTAGAAAGTTTTATCATATTTTCTTATAATTTTTTTCTAGGCAAAGTTTGTATCTATATATCCATTTCACTAATTAAACGGTTTTTTTTTTCCTTGTAGATAAATAAAATAATCACTGGTCAAAATATCCCATCTTTGCCTAACTGTCTCTCTCTGTAATTTCTTTCAAACCATTATCAGAATAGACCCTAGTATAATACCAAAACGATAAAACAATTATTTAATTTATGAAGGCTTTTGATGGAGCCAGATAAAACAATTATTTAATTTATGAAGTTTTTTGTTTTATGGAGCCAAACTGTTTGGCTCTATAGCCAACTTCATAGATATGCATGATAAGTAAAAAATATTAATTAAAATAATTATGTGTATTTTTAACTGGTTAGAGAATTTAATATTTTTTACTTGTAATGTATAAGATGTTGGCTGTAGATTCCGTTGTCAGCTCCATAAAAAAATTGCTAACTTAAGTATTTTTTTTGAAACAAAACTATAACTCTTGCAATGCATATTCCCTTTATTAGAATAATTTTGTGCAAAAACCAATTTAATTTCTTGACATTATCATCTCATTTTTCTAAACATCTAATAATTAAATTGTGTATATCAACTAACATTTGCTAATTACACTAGATGAAAGTAATCAAACAGAACATTATTTTTGGCCAATGACAACTACTTCAGGCTAATAAATAAAATCTAAAACCATCACATATATACACACAGCCACAAGAATCTACAACTATTTTCACTTGCTATATAAATACCAATTACATNGATTTTACTAACACCAACAAAAAAAAAAGCACAAACTTTACAATCTAGACAAAAAAAAATCTCAATAAATTCCCATGTAATGCATACAACACCATTACCTCCTCGTCACCATCATCGTACTCAAGATTCCGGCGGCCGGCCACCATCTCCGGCGGCAAGACAACCGCACGGCACAATGGACACGTGGCGGATTCTCGCTGTAGCCACGTGTCGATGCATTCCTTGTGGAACGTGTGTCTACACGTCAACTTTCGAACTTTTTCTCCTTCTTCGAAGCACGATAGGCACACTCGACACTCTTCATCATAAACCTCAAACCCTAGCTCGACTTTATACTCGTGCTCGGGCAAGCATTGACCGACGATTTCAAGCAATTGGTTGACCTCCGTTGACTTTTTCCGGGCGGAGGTCTTGGCCGTGTCTAGTGCGAAAACGGCTAATTCGAGGAAGAGGGTTGAGAAGAAAATCACGGTTGAGTTGAAAATACTAATCAAGAATTGAGATATTGTTGCCATATAGTCTAGCTAAAAGAGTGTATGAATATGGAGTTTGATGTATGCATATAAACAAAGTGCAATATTTTTTTGACATTGTTTTATAATAAGCTAAAGTGTTGGCTCAAGTGCTATAAATAAATTTATTAATTTTGTTTAGAGGTGGTAAGGACCATGGAAAATTCCAAAGGTGGAAATTTGATGATAAAGATGGGAGGTGGGGTTCATTTGCTTCTGCCAATTAAACTATAATAAAGATTTGGTATAAAGAATAATAAAGTGCCTAAATCTTCCAAAAATATTTAAATATTTTTAGATGGGTTTGCCACGTCACTTATGGGGCTGTGTACATTAATTAAATTTGTGATATTTGTGCATCTTGCATGACATAAATGCAACTTTTGACTCTGTATAAATAAATAAATAATAGTGAGTTTATTTTTATTTTGGTCTATGCCGTGAATTCATGGTTATCTGATCTCCTCTTTATATACTATATATTTGTTCTCACGTTCTGCGCTTACTAAAATTGACCAATTCTTTTTAAGATATTCTAGAATGGAGTTTTGAGGTCAAACATCATCTAAAAAAAATTGCACTATATTTTTATTGGTCTTATACATTTTACAGATTATTTAGCTTCAAAAGAATCGGCGCTTTATTTTTATTATATTTTCGCATCATCTGAAAAAACTGGCATTATATTTTTTTTTTGTTATATACATTTTAAAAATTAGTTAGCTTTTAATATTGACGCTTTATTTATTTATTTATTTCTTATCAATGTGAAGTGCTGTGGAAGGGTCTATAATCTATATGGTCCTGGGAAAGGGTGAAAATGGGGATCAATATTGAATAAGGAGAGCAAGTTATGTACCAATTTGATAGGCAACTTTCGGTTAAACCAAACTTCTTATATTTTCAATGCTTAACTTTAAAATTTTAGTAAACTTCATAATTATTGTTGATGTAATTATAGGTTGTCAAGCACTCCATTAGTTTCTTTTTAGTGATTATTACTTGGTAGTATTTGGTATTTTCATTCAAAAATATACTAATATGATTGTTTTCAAGTTTGTACAAAGTGTGAACCTAAAAGAAAAAATCACCAGTCTTTCTATAAAATCAAATATGGCTCCATTTATGAAGCCCTAGGGCATATAACTTGGTTAAAATTGGTGGTTGTAGTAGTGATTTTCATATCAGCTGCAAAACTCCATAACATGGATGGATCTATCAGTAGTTTTACAAAAATTTTGAAAAATACAGAAGAAAAAACTCCATCAAGTCTAATCATAATAGATATTGTCAAAAACAAATGTCCACCCGAGCTCAGAAGACAGAGAAAACAAAAGAAAAGGATAAAAGGACACTTATGAAAACTTGACTGCTATAATTGTTCGACATAGAATGAGATGCATTGAGGAAATTCAGAAAATGAAGGTGAAGAATCTGAAGAAGCAAAGACAGTCTCTCTCCTCAGTGTTCACCGGGCAATGACTTTATGATATCCGAGTCACCTACAGTGTGAATAAACAATTGAATTAGTTACAAACCATCCCACAAAACACGCAACAAAAGAAAACAGTGAATAATGGTTTATAAAACCACATACCTGGATCAACGATGCTTAGGCACGAAACACGAAAGTACTTTCCACAAGCAGTGCCCAAATCAACATTATCTGTGGTAAATTTCAAAAGGCGTTGATGAAGGAAATAGAACTAAGTCCCTCATTTAGTTTTCATGTAAAATATTTGAAACCTAAGTAAGTTATAAAGCAATTAACCAACAGTGTGAAGTAGCATAACAAAACCCAAATAAACTTTCAGACCATGTATTTCAATGGTGTGAAGAGGCATAACACAAATTCTTGTGCGAGGCTGCCGCCTAACCATTAGGCGGGTCAACCCGTCATTTTTTTTTTTTTCAAAAGTGCAAACTTATGCTATGAAATGTCATACTTCTGTTTATATTTTTTTTCGAGAATGGAAAGTCTAAAAAAAGTGGCATGAAGTTTAAAAATGATGGTGCTACCAATAAATATCTTAAAGACAAAGCTTCCCATGAATTTGTTGAAAATGCATTATGGAAAGAACAAGAAATTACAGAAAACACCAGCGCAGGAGTTACTCGATAAGTTCATGCACTACATTATAAGCCGCCAGTGAAGCATTATCCAACTTACATTACATTATATGTTTTAGACACTACATTATGGCACACATTATCCAACATTCACACTTCCTTGATTGCACTCTCAAGTAATAAAACAATCATCACTGTCATAACTAAACACTCCCCTAATCAGCTAATTAGGGAAAAACAGATCATCCTCATATCTCTAGAATACCCATTTGTGTCCCCATCAAACCAAAAACTATTCAACAAATCAAGATAAATTAGCCAAAAAAAACGTGCTCCTAAATCCATTATAGAAGTTGGCAAACAACTTACTTCCATTGTAATGGTGAACCCCAATCTTAGCCAGCATTGCATAGTACTCAATCTCGGATTTCCTCAATGGCGGGCAGTTGTTGGAGATTAGTATCAATTTCCCTATCAATCCCAAATTGACAAACATTCAACTCTTGAAATCCGTCCACACACCCAAACAAAANNNAAAAGGGATTTACCTTTGGAGTTGCGAAGGGTTTTGAGGACGGTCTTGTAACCGAGAGTGTATTTTCCGCTCTTCATCACCAAAGCGAGCCTGTTATTGATGCTCTCATGGGTCTTCTTCTGTTAAGAGAAATAAAATTGCAACAAATGTAAATCAGTGGGTTAAATTATTCAAAAAATAAAGGAAGGGAAATGGAAATCGAGGGATTTTTACTGTTTTCTTCGCCGTCACCATGGTGGGAAGGTAAGCTAGGGTTTCGCAGCCGAACGATGGTGAAAGACTGAAAGCTGACCAAATTTTCAGCCTGCAACTGGCCAACACGGCGCAATATAGTGTGGTGAGAGTATTAGATTTTACAGTGAGCACGCTAGTGAATTTTGAAATTTGAGTTTTTAAGGGGGTGATTGTTTATGAAATAACTATAAAAAAATTTCTATAAATTTTTATAAAATACATACACATGTTTTTTAGAATTTAATTTTCTCATAATAATTAAAAAAAAATTAATTTAGCAAATTGTCAAATAGTAAACCTTACATAATCAAGAGATTTTTTTAATTTGCATCCTAAGACTTTATTAGTTTATTTAACATACTATGCAATATAAATATATATTTTACAATAAATTCGTTATGGAAATAAATAAAAATAAAAATAAATGATAAAAGTATCATGGTTGACAATAATATACAAATAAATCAAATGTTGAAAATGTAGAGAATAGTTAATATATTTTAATTTTGTTATTTAGCCATTAATAAATTATTTAATGATGTGATCATTATCCCTTAAAGGGTAAATTATTTTAATTTAAAAAAATTATTTGTTTATATAATTAAATAAAGATTAAAAAATATTATCGAAAAATATTAATTCACCAACTTGATTTCGGCTAATTAGTTAGAGGAGAATTATTTAACATGTTACCATTGTTTATAAATATTTTAGGATGAAAGTCAACATTTGTGAAAAAAATAATAATATGGTTAAGACTTAAAAGTTGTTTTCATGTTTATGTTGACCAAAATATTATCAACATCAATCACGAAAAATCAAATTATAGTTTATTATAATGGATATCAATAAAATTATTGCATATGTTAATAAAATTATTCAAGGAAAGAATCTTTTTGGTCATATTTGATTTGGATATGTGTATATTAAAGCAATTAATACATATATTTAAAAAGTTTTCAAATAAAGTATGCATTAAATGCTCATTGGCTTTTTTGCTGCTATTTTTGATAAATGTTAATTCTTTATATATATATATATAGATTTGTTCAAAATGAATTATTTTGGTTAATCATAGTTAATTTTGAAAAAAGTAGTATAGTTAGTTGTTAGTGGAATTTTAAGAATGTATTATAAGAATATTTAAAATAAAATGATTAAAATTAATTAGATGTAAAAGTAAGAGATAAATGATTGGAAATGCATAATAGTTAAAATTATGTGAGTGAATGAATAGTGACTTGAAGTTGATGTGATGTGTAAGAATGGTTGGTTTGTATTTTTTAATTATATGAATAATATTAAAGATAGTGGGGTTGAGTTAAAGTTGAGTTAGATTTTGAGTATGAAATAAATGAGAATGAAATAATTCATAAACAATCAAGCCCTAACCCTTTGATTATCTTTTTTTTTTTTATTTATTTCTTCTCTATTTTGCAAGCGTAAATTAATTAAATGAAATCAATATCAATATCAGTTTTGTATATTTTTGTTTTAAGTATGTACACGAAATCTCGGAGTCTCACGAATCTAGCAACAATTTTGGAATTATGTCAATAATATTAACATCCATGTTAAATATATGGAATAAAAATTTATTTTATAAATAAAATTTTAATATATAGGATTCTAAACACAAAAAAATAATACATAAAACTACAAAAAAACAAATGGTTATAGTACACTTGAAAAATTCTGCATTTATAGGGTGCGATATGTAATAATTACAATTGTTGTTGTTTCATTCTTGGTTTGTAGTTGGGAACATTTTCGTTTACATGTCATTGTTCCAATTGATAGTTTTCAGCATTTTCATTGTAGCGACTTACATTATGTATATAACAATCATCTTTTAGAGCTATTTTGTTTATTGCCTTTGAACAATTGATGATGGCTTTGACTTTCTTGTTTTAAGTTAAAACCCAAAAGTAATGAAATAAACAAATCGTATCATCATTATTTGATCTTCAAAAAACATATAAACCTTTTCTCTATCCAAATTCCAAACAACATGTCATAATCAAACTGTAAAAGCAAAATTAAAAAGCCTAAAGGAAATCAAGTCCTTAAGCACCAAATATGATGGGACAAAAAAGAAAAGATTGAAATCATGTTTATTGGCTATTGCTCAATGGCCTTAAGCACAAAATGCCCTTCATTGACTTTCTTCATCACTTTCTTCTTCCAAATACAAGTGATTCATATTCCTTTCCAATGGAGGAAGACCATCTTCAGAACCGCAAGATGATCCATCGTCATCATCACCATAAGTGTTTCTACATTCCAATTGCTCTCCTGAACATTTTTTTTTTTTTTTGAAATTCATTGTATACTGTAATATCACTATTTTAACAACAGTACATGTCATTAATAAACTGATAATATAATTTTAAATGAATTAACGATAAAGGCCAAACGCTTGAGAGACAGAAAAAGAAATAAAATAGAGAAGAAAAAGAACAACAACAACAACAACAACATACCCAGTATATTCCCAACAGGTTGGGGTCTGGGGGGTCAGACCTTACCCTTGTAATTATACAAGGAGGCTGTTTCCGTAGCGACCCAAGGTGCATTGTGCCGTTTGATATTTTTTTTTTTTCTAGAAACTTCACTAATAGAAGAAGCACTAGAATTTAATTGAGTCATTTTGATCTAGTCCATTATTAGCACTATGCAGGAGAATTGTCGACAATGACTCTTCCAGCTCCATTTGCAATGGACAATAGAGAAGAAAAAGAACAAAATTAGAAAATCCCAAAACGAAATCAACATTATATGATCTCACCTCTTTCATTTGTGACTTCATTTGAAGTTGGCGATTTTTGCTGCGAAAGCCACTCATTTTGAACAACGATCATATCTGCACCTTTTTTACAATTGGAGTATTCCTTGAGAAGTTCCCTGCAATCATTTTTTATTTTTTATTCTTTTTTTGCAAGCAATTTATACACAAGTTTGGAAAAATCTGAAACAGTTGCAATTAGCTAGAACATCGAGAATAGTATGATACGAATTTGTGAAATTGAGCCAGAGAAATTTACCTGTTTAGGGACAAGAAAGCATGACCCCATTTGAATTTGCTGAGCAATAGATTTCCAGTTTCTTCCTCCCCACTAAGTAAATAGAGAGATGAAATTAATATAAAATGTTTTAATTAGATATTATTGCAAGAAAAGATTATGCAGCTTAAGAGTTGAACCAACCACATAGGCTGAAGCATGTTTGAATATTGATTTTGCAATAATAAGATCCAAAATAACGATGAATATGATTTTGTCAACCAAATTATCCTAAATATCTAAGTTACTCTGCTTGCATTTTCGGCTGAAGAGTCCTCACAAAAGACAAAACAATTCCAATTGTTTAACTAAATATAATCCTCAACACAAAAGGCCTGAGATTAATAATACCATATAATAAGAGCTGCAGCCAGTGCCTCGACACATGAAAGCTCACAAGGTCGGCCATAATTTACTGGATTTGCTGCTACCAACCAAGGCACTGCAATTCAACTTATATGCATGAGCCCAAAACCAAATAATTTTGAAGATTTAATAGTTGATAAATCCTAATTCCTGTGCATTTAATTTTTCTGGTTTATCTTTTGCATGAAATTTCTCAAGTCTATTTTTTTCTTTTTCCTAATGACTTGAATGTCTGAATATATTAAAAAACAGTAATTCGAGGCAACATACAAAGACGAGGAGCGGCACACCGCAGTTTGGTGAAAGGCACATCCTCTAAGCGGGCCCACGAGCAATCAACAACAGCTAAACCTCTTCGTCTGATCAGTTCAAGATCCTCTTGGGAGACACATTGTGTCCCAGTGGGACTGAAACATGAAAAAAAAAATTGATACCAGACAACCTTAATAATGTATAATTACCACGGTGAAAAATAAATTAAATAAATTACACCATTCATGAAAATGGATGTATAGGTCTAGCTAGAACTTGTTAGTTGAAATTGAAATGTTATTTTCAGAAAACCAGTAGAACAAGAAATGAACAAAGAGAAACATCAAATTTATATTTGGAATCAAAGCATTCTATATAAACTTCACGTTTTAATTCTACCAATCTTTTTCAACATGAAACAATCCCAAAATGCCACAAACTCTAATGCTGACACTGAAACATCTATTATTTAGTGGATATTCATAAAGGCAATAGTCTTAATGAAATATGTATCAACTATTAACAACTATATTCAATATAATCTCACAAAACCTCATATTGTTGCAATTCTTTATGTGAAGTTACAAATATCTCATGGATTTTAACAAATTTCAAGCAGGCCCATGGATGTTGAGTCCACTGTAATTAAAGAAATAAACTTGTTCATTCCTTTTGCTTTCAGTGGCATATGTCCAAAAAATACAAAGAATAAGCCATCAACATTTCAATACAAGTTACAATATTATACAAGATGAAAGATTCATCATAAGTGCAGCTAATAGGCATTGATAGTTTATTCACCTCAAGACAACTCCCCCAAATCCGCTACTAACTCGTAATTCCTGAAATAAAAAAATTAAAGAACCGTTAATCAGCACAAAATATTGGGGTGAATAGATCGTCCACCCAAGTACCATCATTCCTCCTACAAATGATAAGCATGACATATGGATACTTGAGTTAATGTTATACATTATTTAAATATAAAAAATACTTTCTTTCAACAATCCAAATCTTGCAAGCTTGCGTCCTGTGCACCTCTTCGCATCACATTGTCCAAAATCCTGAAACCACAACATAATTATTTTTAGAAAGACAAAAAACTATGCCAACCACAATTAAAGCAAAACAAAAACCCGTTCCAGTTTCCACTAAATTGTTTGTAATAAAATGTGTCCGATCAAATCAAATAAATATAGACATACATCGACTTTGTCAAATTAACTATCATTCCAGAACTGTGTTAGAACATCAAAAACCATAAGTCTCATGCCATAGGGATGTCACGAACAGAGGACGTGTACATCACTAAAGGGCCCGTTTTGACAGCACGTGATCAACCAACTGAACTTTTATCTTGAAATATCATAGATTACATTTTGATGGACCTTAACACAACTACCATAACACCAAAG